ATCATGAAATGAGAAATAATATTTCTGATCATGTGTATATTTTCTAACAGGGCTCCCATTGTTGCTGAATGTGATCGCAAAAGGATTCTTTCGTCTTGGGCTCCTTATTGCGGTAATGTAATGCCAAGGGAACTCCAGATAGATTTTTCAAAAGTTCGATATCTTACGCCTTGTCAGTTTGTAGAGAAGCTTTCCAAAGAGCTGGGAGTACGAGGAGTTGTTGCTGGTATGTTGTAACATCCTAACTCGGTATTGAGATTCCAATATAAACTAACAAAGATAAAAAGATATTGATATGTTGATGACCTCAGGCGAGAACTATCGTTTTGGATATAGAGCTGCTGGTGATGCATCAGACCTTGTGAAGCTTTGTGAAGAGTATGGATTAGAGGCCTATATAATCAATTCTGTCATGGACACAAATCAAATTTCTGGAGCCTTAAACTCTAATGACGGAAAAGAGAGAGGGCAAGTATCATCTACTCGTGTGAGGTATGCCCTTCACAAGGGAGACATGAAATATGTGTCAGAGCTATTAGGTCGGAACCATCGTCTTATTTTAATGATGGAAGACCAAGAAAGGTTTACTAGTGAGAGAAATAGGCTGTCAGCTCCAAAGTCTTGTTTGTTGAATCTTGCACCTAAGGAAGGTCTTTATGAGAATTGTTCAGTTTTGATTGACAAGAATGTTATACCCTGCAGAGTAATAGTTGATACAACAGATATTCATTTGGAATGCTATGAGGTAGATAGGTTTTCCTGTGTTACTTCTCAAGACTTAAAGATATTGGGTATTGACTTTGGTAGTCCAGAGTTAGATGGGGTTCAAATTTTGTAATTCATTCCCTATAATTTTTTAGTGCAACCATTTCTGAATGTCCTTCAGTCTTCAAGTATGAGTATGATTCTTTAAGCGGTACCTTTCTGCTCAATTCACATTCTTTTTACGGGAATATAGCTGAATTTACTGATATTCTAATTTCTAAGAATCTGATAGTATGCATGGAATCTAGATGATAAATGTGCAACAAAATAGCAAATATCATTATGTAATGACTTTTGACCATTACCATACATAATGGATTTTGTTCTATCACTACAAGTAGATTGGTTAACAACTTGGTTACTGTTACTCTTTCCTTGTTTGAGTGTTCTTGTATTTGTTCTAATTAGTGACAATCCCTTGATTATAATCCTGTCGTACTTGATTGGCTATTATCCTTTCCGCCAATATCTTTAGTGCTTGAAGTCCATTTCCTTCAATTCATTTGTAACTGTTGAAATGTGTGAACCATCTCATCTATAACTTTGGACTGTTAAAGGGGGGCACATATTACCTTAAAAACGATGTTTTGTCTCATCTAAAATCTTAAATAAAAAGGGAACACTTTCTTTTTAACAGTAGTGAATGCAATATGTCTATAACCACTGTTGGTGTCCACTTACTTTGAGCATGTTTGAATCCTTATAAAGAGTGCTTCTTGTAGACTTCTGCTCTCTCATTCCTGTTAGAGTGGTTTTACCTGATATTCATTATCATTCTCTTACTGCTTATGAAAATCTTGTTCATCATCATCAAGTAGGTGGTTATCTGGAATGTTTGTTTCACGGATAAGGAAATCTTGCTGTGATATGTAAGAGTGTTCTTTGACAACTGTAGAAGATCAAACTATATAGATTCAGACATGTATAAAGGTGGAACCAATGTCTTAGGCTGTGGCATGTTAACTTAGAGAGAGAGAGAGAGAGATAAATTTGAAGGGGTTGTAGAACATGATGAGTGTTGCTTGGAAGTCTACAGATCATATATTAAATTCAGGAGTGTATAGTTTCAAATTTTTCGTTGAAAGCAGGGATGATCTTGTTGTACAATGGTCCTTGGTTTTTGGGTTCCTGCAGTGACACTTTTGGGTTCCTCTTGTGGGTCTCCCAAGGCATTGTCTACTAAGCTATTGCCATTGAAATTGGTAAATTGTTAGCAGAATGTTACCATGGAGAGATAAGGGAGAAGCTCGGTAGTGGACAACTGTTTCTTCAATGATCTTCGTCCATTTTGTCGGTGCATCAAATTGTATGGTCCAGAAGGAGAAGTGGGGTTCTCCTTCCTCAAGTGCGAACAGTTTCCTGCCGTGTTTCATGTTTCTTTTCTGTTTAACAAATTGTGTTTTATATGTGGTCTTATTGACCATATATTAGAAGCTGCACATTGAAGGATGATTCTTGACCTACTTAATGCAAAAGGATCTTTCTTTGTGTGGCTTGGTTCAGTGTCTGTCTTGATAAATTTAGATTAAAGGTGTTGTGCTGCCATTGTTGGAGATGTATTTCTGGCTCATGCTTTGATTTGAAGCATATGTAGGAACTTTTGATGGGCCTAAAGAGGTCATGAAAGGAAACTCAGCTGCAAATCTTGGGACGATGCAACCCTGAATCTACATACTCGTCGCCTGGGTCCTGTTATCTCATTGCTTCAATCTAAAGATCTTACAAGCAGGTATGAACAATAACTGAAGGCAGATCCAAAAGTTTAAATCAGTATGTATAGATTATAGAATATTAGACTTAGAGACTAAGGTAGTAGATTCGGGCATAGCTAAGAATCCTATTTGACATACTACTACACTAATAATGTACTGGAACCCTATCAGTTATAACTGTTTATTCATGTAACGTTGTGTTGGAAGGATACAACTTGCTATAAGGTCAGAGGGCCTGAGGCTATTGTGCTGCATCGAACTCTACATAATTTGAATGTCATTGAGATCTTATTGAAAGACTACTCCCTGGGCTTTGGTCTAGTGGTAAGATTGCAACACGTAATGGGTAAGTCAGGCACACGTTACAGATTCGGTATTTAAGTGGAGAAGGGTAAGGGGCCCGGCCCCTTGTCCATCCACTTCCGAACTGTGTGCCACTGGCCCTTAGAGATTTCTCAGTTTTTTTCTTAAAGAGATTGTTGAATACTGATGCTAGCTCAACTCATTACTTCTATACCTCTCTGTCCCTCATGATCCAGTGACAAGCTTATGAAGTATTTCAGAGAAGAATGGTATTTAAAATGTACTTCCTGAGGTAAAGTTCTTTCTTTGAAAGATCGGAAGAAATCCTACACACTCGGCTATATCTGGTTAAGAGATGGTGCTGTGGCTAATTCTATATGTGAATTATGCAATGAGATTGTGTTCTCCTGCCCTGTTCTTCAGGTTTTCTCCACCAAAGCTATGATTCTCATGTTGGCCTTCAAGTTGTTCCTAACAAATTAGATCAATAGGAAAGGGCTGTTCTTTCTACTTCCTTATGATCCTTTTGGTGTATAAGGACTCCAGTGATCTTTCAAGGATCTTCTTATAAAGTCTTGAATTTGCTTGATCGTCCGTCATCTATTCACATCTGGTGTTTTTTTTGCTACTTGAATCAAGATTTCAGGTATTCCAGGTAATGTTGTAAGTTGGATTGAGGAACTTCTACTGGCCAGTTTTAGCTAATCTACATGGTGTTGTGATATCCTTAGAGCTGGAATTTATTGTTCCTAGGGAGCAGCATGAGGAATCCTCCAAGTCTCATTACTTCAAAACTTACATTTTGCTAAGATGAATCATTTCTTATTCACCATTAACCAGAGGTCTCGGGTTCGAGTCTTGGGTATGGAGAAAATCATGTGGGGAGCGCTACCCCTGAATGGACCTTGCAGTGCGTGATCCGGATTCGAACCCTGGGTTGGGAGAAAATCATTTCTGCAAATGAAAATCACTCTGAATACTTTGCAGACATGAAAGGGAATAAGATTATGAATATTTGCAGACAATTTTTTGGGGGGAAAGCTTACTTACATTATGGTGTTTACATCAAATTATGAGTATTAAATGTATTAATTTTGTCATTAAGTGACAAGAAGATATGTAAATGATACATATTATGTGTACTTATTATTAAATTGACCTAAACATTTGAGTATGGGACCCTTGTGTCAATTAGTGCCAACAATGTAATTGAGAGTCATTAATCTTAGGATACCAAAGGACAAATAATGAATAATAATTAATAAGATAGTACATAGAATAAAGGGTGTTTAATGCGAATATACTATATGTTAGTTGGAATTTAATCATTTAATCTTGTAGGAGTCGTTTGGTAAGATGTATTGTAACAAAGGCTGAATATAGTGTATTACTAGTAATATTGAGATTAATATTGTTGTTATTAGTTATGTTGATATTATTTTTATCGATGATTTGATTTACTGTATAAAATCAATAAGATGTATTAGGATAAAAATAATATCAAATAAAGTGTATTATTATTAGAATATAAATACTATCCCATATTGTTAATGCCATTATTATTATTATTATGTGTAAGAATAATATTGAACATAATATATTAGTTGAACATAATTTGGAAACACTACTAAATAAAAATTAAATAATATCAAAATTGTTGTATATATATAATTTTCTTTAATAGCTCTTACCAAACGACCCTAATGTTGGTATATATTATGCTTCATAAGTTGGTAACCACCACATTCCAACTACTCCCTCAATTTCAAAATAGTTATAATATTTTGTTTCTCGAGAGTCAATTTAATTAATCTTCAAAGGTAAGTTAAATTATATTAATTTAATATTTTAAAGGTACTAAAAAATTATATGATAAACACTATAAATTGTAATTTTTTTATATTAATATAATAAAAAAGACATCTCATAATATTAATCAAAGACCATCTATCATTTACTTTTAAGTATAAATCATGACAAATATTTTGAAACGAAGGACTATTACTATACAAAAACTTTAGAGCTTTAATCCAACTCATAATTCTTCATGTTCAATTTTCTTATTTAATGCTTACACTAAATCAATAAATATTTAATACTACATAATTTTATCTTGCTAAATCACAGTATAGTTGATTAATACACCATATAGTCCAAAACCCTATAAATAACAAAACAAACACAAAATGAAAAGATAATTCCTCTTTCTTTCCAGTAGGATCAGAACCATAAACTTCTCCGATGGCCGGCGACGATTCTCATCTGCAAAATGACGTCGTTTCAATCTACTGTATAAACGACCGTCTCGGCGACGACGAGCTTCGGGCCGTACTGTCGAGGCTGGGAGACGACAAAGACAAGGAAGTTTTCGGGCAGGTATGTAAGCGGTGGCTTCGTATTCAAAGTACTGAAAGGAAGAAACTTTGTGCTCGGGCCGGGCCTCACATGCTCAGAAGAATCGCGGCCCGATTCACTCGATTACATGAGCTTGATCTATCTCAATCGGTTTCTAGATCTTTCTATCCTGGTGTTACTGATTCTGATCTTTCAGTTATTGCTACTGCTTTCTCTTGCTTACGAATTCTCAATCTTCAGAACTGTAAAGGTCCGTTTTTGTATTTTTTAAAACTTTTGTAGTTTGAAATTTGTTGAATTTGAATGTTCATTGCTGAAGTGAACCTGAGCTACTGCAGGAGTGGCCAAATGCACCAATGAGTTGTAGTATGTGTAGTGATATTTCACATTAAGTGCTGATTTAAAATCTTGAATTCGTCTTTGTGTGGGGTGGTGGAGCTGGGATTTTCACTAAGAGGGTTTGAAATACATAAAACATAATTTTAACCATGTATAACCAGTTCGGATGAACCCCTGGGCCCTTACTAGCTCTGCCCCCCTGTCTGTGGGGTGTTGGGTGTATTGTTTCCAACTTGGACATAAAGGAAATTTTGAGATTTTGACTAAAACCTTTTGTTTGAAATGTTAAAGGTTTTGACCCGATATGGTGAAGACTGGCTCTTCCTCTTTTCTATCTTGTAATAATGGTTTTTATGATAAAAAGGGCGTAATGGGGTTTATGGAGGATTTTAGGTGAATTTATGGTTGGTTTTTTTAAAGATTTGTAGGATTTTGTGTTTCTGTGTAAAGGTTATGTCTTTTTTGCTATGTGGTTTTTGAAGTGGTAGCAAAAGGGAGGATAGTGTAGTTATATCATATGTATTCCAATTTTCAAGAGAAAGTGTAACTTTGTTGCGAATCTAAGGCTCAGATGCTTCCTTGACTTAACTTGCGTGGTTTTCTGGTCCAAATTTACAGGCATAACAGACAAAGGATTGACAGCGATTGGATCAAGTCTCTCTTCTTTACAGTCCTTAGATGTATCCTACTGCAGAAAGATCACAGACAAGGGGCTTTCAGCTGTTGCTGAGGGGTGTCATGACTTGAGAACGTTGCATCTTGCTGGCTGTAGATTTGTCTCAGATTCATTAATGAAAGCTCTCTCCAAGAATTGCCATTATGTAGAAGACCTAGGTTTGCAAGGATGCACCAACATTACCAACTCAGGTCTCTCTGTTTTGGTTGAAGGTTGCCGGAGGATAAAGTATTTGGACATTAACAAATGCAGCAATATTGGTGATATTGGGATATCTAGCGTGTCTGAAGCTTGTTCATTAACACTTAGGACATTGAAGTTGTTGGATTGCTACAAAGTTGGTGATGACTCCATCTTATCCTTGGCCAACTACTGCAAAAATCTTGAGACACTCGTTATTGGTGGTTGCCGTAACATATCAGATGAGCCTATGAAGGCACTGGCAGCTTCTTGTAGTAATAGTCTGAGGAAACTGAGGATGGATTGGTGTTTGAATATTACTGACTCGTCATTGGACTGCATCATTTCCAAATGCAGAGAGCTTGAGGTTCTTGACATTGGCTGCTGTGAGGAGTTGACTGATGCTGCATTTCAACAATTAGGAAGTGAAAACTTTATGTTGGGGATGAAGATTTTGAAGGTCAGTAACTGTCCAAAGATAACTGTTGAAGGAATTAAGAAGCTTATGAAGTCATGTGAATATCTTGAATATCTAGACGTACGGTCTTGTCCCCTAATCACTAAAGCAGGGTGTGAGGAGGCTGGAATTCAGTTTCCTGAATCCTGCAAAATAAACTTCACTGGAAGCTTAGCAGAGCCAGATATGTTACTTTGAGCAGTACTTGATTTAGCAATGTCTTTGAAGGACTGAAGGGGATCATGCAGTGAAATCATCACATTCTTTGCCTAAGACCTAAAATATGACTTTGGAAGCTCCTGCTGTCAGTCCCTTGTTCCCATTAATTTGCCTTTTGTTAAGCATCAAGTTTTTTGTTGTAGATTATTTCCCTGCTTTTCAGTTTGTTTTTTTCCCCTTGCTTTTCAGTTATTTGATATCAAACTCCTGTATATCATCCTTGTAAACTACTAGTAGGCACCATTGTTTGCTGTAGGTGTTTTCAGATTGTGAATGAAATGAGTCCATTGCTGCTAGCTTGAATGTGAACTTATACCAACAATGATGGTTTGATTGATTGCATTTCTTGTACGACCTGTCCAATTATATTTGCCAGTTCAGGTTTCGTGTGTGTGAGACAGTGCTTATCCACGGTTGGATTGTGTTACCTGTAACTGCCTATAGTTTGGATTTTACAGGAGCCATATTTTAACTAATTGTCCAAAGAAGTTTATCAGACTGCAAGATAGGAACCAGTGTTCTGATTGTAAAATGGCTTAATTTATATTTAGTGACAGTATAACATTGTTTTTCCCACGTTGAATCTGTATTTTAGCATGTTATAGTAGGTAAGTTACCTTTACATTGACAGTGTATATTAACGTCTTGTAGCAGGTAACTTGCCCAGATTTTCAGGTTACTAAATCCACCTTTTTTAAATAGTTACCTGTGGTTATCATTTATGTAACTTGATAGTGTAAAATGCAGAGAAGTTAAACACACTGCCAATTTTAGTATTTCAAATTGGCTGGTTCATCATTTTCTGGATGATGATACCAGTTAACTTTTCATGAATGGGTAGCATTCCATTGTGAGAATGGCTACACCTTTTCTTTTCTCAAGGTGTGAGGAAACTACAGACCAGAAAAATGATGATGATCACTTAGATTCTTAAATTGATATAGTGCGGTTTCCGGCCTCAGCATATTGAATTACAACATGGAAATATCCCTCAAACTGACTTCACAATTTGAACTGCAGATTTTATATCTTATTTCATTTTATCCAAAAGATAAATAATTTGAAGACACTATATATCATACTAAAAGAACTTGAAGGCAGCAAAGCTTGTGAATGCAGTATTAAATTTGCATATAAACAATCTAAAATGCTAATCCTATAACTAGCATATTGTTCTTGTTTTCATATCTACCACTTGGGTCATAAAGTCTACTCTAAGGACAAGTAGAAAGCTAAATGAATCTACAAAAAAAACCAATCTATCTGCACAAGTTTTATAATAAATTTATACATTCGTATCTCTTGCTATCTCAAAAAAGAAAATAAGTCTACAAAAGCTACCAGTTTCAAAAAAAAAAAGTCTGTACATTTCCATTAACTCATAAGGGCACAAAGCTTAAACCTAAAAAGCCTCCTTTGAGCAATGGATCTAGTTACAAAGTTTTAACAGATCCCTGAATTTGTTTTTGCATGAACGTTTTACATTGAAGAACGAGCTCATTGGAAAAAAAAAGTGTCTTCACAACTTGCTTGAGCTGGAGATTGCCTGCTGCAGATATCTCAGTGTCTTTTGATGATTGAGGAATCCCATAAACCAGAACTCAAAATCATCCTCTGTAATTACTTGTATATACTTCTGTGATGGCTTTTGCATATTTTTGCTCTCTTTTGCTTTCATTATCTTACTAATTGGGATTGATACCTGCCATTGTGAAGCAGTTAGATTATGCTTTACGTGGTTAGAAAATTAAGAGTTGAAAGACAAATGGAGCAGAGTGGTACCTTATAGTAGATTCTAAGCAACTTTTCAGTTGGAGATAAGAGCTTTATTGATCTCTCACTGCAGAAAGCAATCTTATTGGTAGAGATGAAGAGAAGGCCTGCTATTGGACCAGCTGTAGTTGATAAATAGCATTGACAAACTTTCAATAGCTTTTCATCATCTCTAGCACTGAACTTCTGCCTGAATATTTTCTCCAACCCTCCTACTTGAAGAATTTTTGCTCCAAGGCTCAATTTTCCCTTTAAAGTTTCTGTTAGTTTCGGGCTTAGGCTCACTGCACAATTAGAGCACATTTAAAATCAATGTTTTCTATCATGTATGCATGTGGTTCTTGCATGAATTTTGTACTTTATGATTCACTTCTCTGAGTTCTTTAGATTTACAATAGTGTTTGATCATGACATCACTTGCAAATACTTAAGGTAAAGTTTGTCCATCAGCATTCACAGTTTGTGATTTTAGCATTTGAAAGACAGGTGTAGTATTGAATTAACTTGTCTGAGTAGCATTTTTGAGTGAGATAATTGTTTTCTCTTACAAACTTTTTCTTCAAACAGAATTCATGTCCGGACACAATTTCAATTCCCAAATACTCCTTTCAACTTCAAGTTCAAATACTTATTTTTCGACTTGAACATAATATTATCTTAGTAATATTTTCAATAAATATATTCAGGTTTTTTGTAGCGAACTTAAGTGCTTACCATGCTCACGGATGCTTTGTACAAGACAATCCATCCTTTCTCCCAATTTGTTCATCTTACCAATGACATATTTTCCTGCATATTCAAGAATATTGTTATTTTTGTGATCTCTTCATTCAAGGGTTTGATCAAGTTGATTCTTCATTAAGGGACCAGGGAAATACTCACTTTGCTTAATTTGAGACAAGTTCTTTGAAGTTGCATATGGAACAATATGGTCTTCGCAAGCAGATAGGGCAAGTAGTATTTTCGGCTGCCTTCCAAGTGAACATACTGCTGAACTCATGGGAATACCCACCAAATTTCCACGGAGTAAGTTCTTCATTGTCATTCTGATTTGAGGTGGAGTATTACTGTATTTTGAAGGTATGTGAGAAATATTTAAGTTTGGTTGATGGTTTAAAAGCAGTCCATGTAGCATTATATATAGGTGCTTGTAGAGGAGTTGGTGAATCTTTTAACTGATTGTTCCATGAGTCAGCTATGGGTCATCTGAAATAACCAAAAAAGGTCATGCATATGCTTTTTCAGAATTTTCTTTTGTATCAAGAAGAAAAAGGTTGTCTTCAATAATCTTTTTGTTGATTGAAATTTGAAATATTCTAAAAACAATCAAAGTGCAGTGCATGTTCAACCACTCCCTTTATTTTCTAAATTCCTTTTATAACTTTTTCTCTTTGCGCGTAAGGTATTGAAAGTGTCTTCTTTTAGCTGTCTGGTCAATTACAGTAAGCTAATATGAGGCTGACTCATTTTGTCATTAAGATTTGTGTGCACATGTGTATTTTTTTTTTTTTAAACTTTAGATTAGTTGACAGATTTGCTCTATGATGCTGCCTTCTTTTGTAAGTTGAGCCAAAGTAAGAGAGTTTCACATACTGAAGTTATCTCTTCAGAATTAGTAAGGTAGTTTAATTAGGCTTAATTGACTCAACTTCTTTCCCACGAAATTAACTGGTTATTTTGTAGGTAATTCTTTATGATTAAGCATTTGTTTAACTAAAAACAATAGTTTTTAATCTCAAGAGGGAGATTGTTGAGAATCATATTGTTACTATTAGGCTAGCCGTCATATACTTTCGAATTTATCTCAAGTTAGTTTTACCAGTCTTGTATGTTAAAGTTGACAAGATGAAAAATTTGAATTTATAACATTACTAGTAAAAATATCCGCGCTTCGCGCGGGAATTTAATATCACGAAATTTATAAAATAATACTTAAAACCTATCAAGCATTAAAACTAAAACACTATATTATCTTACATACAAGATTACGTAGTAACAAACATTAATAATGTAAAGGAAAATGAAAATCATTACATCTTATCATTTAGCCTTAATAGTATAAGCATAAATTATAAATTAATGATTGTAAAAATATATACCAGGATTTGTAACATAAGCAATAGTGTTAGTGAGCCACTCAACATGAACAAAGTATACAAATATTTAATTGTGAAGAAGAAGAAGAGGAAGAGGCGGTTCAGAATTTTCGTTGTGCTAAAATGAGAGGAAATCCCTCTATTTATGGACAACAAAGGGTAGTATGAACAAATGTTTATTGTGCCTTATCAGAAAGGTTATAACTATTTAGAAAAGTTGCAGCCCTTCGAAAAGGTCACAACCTTTCATAAAAGTTATAACTTTTCATAAAAAAGGCGCAACTCTTCATAAAAGTCACAACTTTTCATTAAAGTAGCAACTCTTCATTAAAGTAGCAACTCTTCATTAAAATCACAACTTTTCATAGAAGTCACAACTTTTCATGAAAGGGAAGGCTAATTTTGTAAATAAATTAATTAAAAGGGAATTCTGGTTTGTGATGGCGCCACATAGGTGGGCCTAAGGTTCTCTTTTATATATATATACTAGGTAAATTACCCGTGCTTCGCACGGGATTGAACTATTTTATTAAGCTTACATATGATCATTCAGTAATATTCGTATTTTCGATACATACACTACATTTTCAAGAACAGTTTGTCTTAAGGTAAAGCAGTCCTCCGAAATCTTAAAGTGCTATATTTTTTTTAATTTTCGTCTTTTTGTTATACATATGAGTCGTAGAGAGATTTTGAAGTATAAGAAAAAGTCTAAGAAAATCTCCATGGAAATAGTTGGTCAGAAGTAATCAAATTTTCTAAATTCCAAAAAGTTATACAGAACAACATCAGAGTTAAAGAAGAGACAAAAAACCATAATTAACTAAATTCAAAGAAAGGACCTTCGGCTCTTTTCTTATGAACCTCCATCAATCTCTTTTTTATTATAGTATGCCGTATCATGTAAATGTTTAAAATGACCCTAAAATTGTTAGCATCACAAATATTTTTCCTCATTGTCTCAGAATAGTCATTACTATTGCTTAGGTTTCATATCACTGGCCCCAACTTATTTGAATTGAACCATATTTATTGTTATGGTTATAGTATTCAATTACAAAGAATTAATGCAATTATCAACCAAGTAATGGTGATATCTCAATGGAACTGTTCACAACTGGATATTCTAAACCAAAATTTTGACACATAACATATTAAAATCTCAGAGCATGATTTTGTGAGCACTTGAACTCACAAATATCCTAATAATCAAGAAGAAAAAGGCATGTTGCTTAACATATTTTTCAAAAGTTGTATCCAAGTTTAGAGTTCACAAATTTAATTGAAAGAAGTCAAAAGAAAGAGTTATTACTTCTTTATAAAAAAAACAAAAAACTATATCAAAAGAAAGAGTTATCACTAAAGCAAAAATGATCTTTAACGAAAATTAATAGTTTAATTGTCGCTAAATATGTATTTTCAGAGGCAATTGGTACTCTCTATAAGTGTCTCTAAAGTCTATAGCAACATTGAATCTAATGAGAATTAATTAATGTCGGTAAAGTCTCTAGTACTCTTCGTTAATGTACATATTTACTACCAATAAAAAATATTTTTGTTATAATGTATTTTGGACATTTGTTAGGTTCAAGAAAACTTGATCTCTTATTATGCACAAAAAGAAGTGACAAAGAAGTATGACTAATTAGTTAACTTGCGTTAAAAGAAGTGTACTAATTGTCTCTCTACTAATATTATAGGAAGAGTGCAATGACATATAAAATGTTTCTACCTTAGAAAAAACAATCAAAATAATATACTAATTGTGGCAAGCAAGAGAGCAATCCTTTTGGTTCTTTTAACAAACTTCATCATTGATTTCGTATTAGTTATCACATATTTGTTGTTGTGTGCTATAAAATATAGCACAACCCACAAGCAATTTTCCCAAAAAGTATATGAAGAACCCTGTAAAAAGGGACAAAAGAGAAGATAAATTTTCAAACATCCTCACTGAATTTTTAACAGAGTTCAAAAAAAGTCACAAAAATAACAAAAAGTTATTGCAATAGATACATGAATCAGTATGACTTATAGTAAAAGATTAATTTTCATGAAATAGGAGGAAGAAAGCTTTGAGGAATGAAAAGCACTTCATAAGAAGCTTAATTAATGTATTTGAATTCAACTCCCCTATAGCAAAAAAAACCTACAAATAATAGTGGCAGCAATAAAAATTTGGTTTACTAAAGAACCAAATGTAATGAATTCAACCATTTCAGCAGCATTATGAGTTGTGGACTGAGAGGTGCAAGAGTAGTAATGTCGCTTTGTAATTGAAATCAAATTTCTTTGTTTATATGAAGAAACATGTGGAAAGGGACAAAAGAGAAGATCAATTTTCAATCAGCCTTGCTGAAATTTTTAACGGAATTAAAAAAAAGTCACCAAAATAGTAAAAAGAAATTGTCATAGTTACATGAATACCTATGACTTATAGTAAAGATTAAGCTCCATGAAAGAGGAGGAAGAAAACTTTGAGGAGTGAAACAAGCTTCATAAAAAGCTTAATTAATGTATTTGAATTCGACTACCCTAGAGTGGAAAAAAACCTACAAATAATAGTGGCAGAAAATTTCTCTATTTATAGACAACAAAGAGTAGTGTGAACAAATCCTTATTGTGCCTTGTTGGAAAGGTCACAACTCTTTGAAAAAGTTACAATTTTTTGGAAAGGGCACAACCTTTCATAAAAGTCATAATTTTTCATAAAAGTCACAATTCTTCATAAAAGTCACAACTTTTCATAGAAGTCACAACTTTTCATAAAAGTCACAACTTTTCATGAAAGAGGAAGATTAGTTTTGGAAATAAATAAATTAAAAGAGAATTCTGGTTTATGATGGCGCTACGTAGACGGGCCTAGGGTTCTTTGTTATATAAATATATGATGATATATGATATGATATGATATATGATATATGAGTGTACAGTAGTGATGATTCATATCCACCACTTGCCTGTCCCCTTAGGAACATGTGTGGGTCATCCTTGAAGTGTTACTTAATTAGGCAAGTTCAAAGATCTCAATCTGACATGTAAGATCTATAATACATGTGCTTGTCTGGATTGTATGTATTGCCTTCTCTTACAAGGCAGTTATTCTTATCTTGCTTTATTTTTCTCCATCTCATCATGATGTGTATAGGCTGGTTATGTAGGCATTCATGCTGATCCTATGTGGAACGCAACACGCAGACATGATTTAGAACTTTCTGGTAAACAACTTATCTTTTCCCTAGTTTGACCATCTTTTATCTTTGGACAACAATCCTTTGAAAAATCTAAAGAAATAAAAGTATTTAACAATGAAGCATAAGAAGATAATAATATTTTTTGATTCATTTTTCATGTGTATCTTTCAAACTACTTATCTAGTTATTAAGAAATTATTTGTAATACTCTTTAATACTCCCTCTATTACATATTATATGTCATTGTTCTTATTAGTCCATTCCAAAAGAATGATACCTTTTATTTGGAAATATTTCATTTAAATTTTTTCATTTTACCCCTAATGTCATACTTTTTTAGTCACAAGAATCTCATGGTAAGTTCAAGGCCATAAGTCCAAAAGTTCTTTTCTTAAACTTCGTGTTGAGTTGAATTCCACCACATAAATTGACCCGGAGAGAATAATATTTTAAGAGTGTTGTAATGTCTTTGCATTCGTTTTTCAATTATATTATCTAGCAAGCTAGTTGGTCAATTTTTGTTGGAAAATGAGTTCAGTTACGCAAAGCTTAAATAAAATGAGCACCCAAGGGTGTGGAGTTGTGATCAATGAAGTGGGTTTGAGAACCATGAGGTCTGAGGTTCAAATTCCAGCTGATATTTTTCCATTTGTCTAAGCCATGTTGGATTGAGTTACCTGGCACTTGTGTTGGTAGGAGGTAACAAGTATTCTTGTGGAATTAAGCGAGGTGCGCAAAGTGGTCAGACACCACAATTATATAAAAAAAATCAAAATGAATTAAGCCTCTATCATATGCAAAACGAGAAGAGCAATTAGTGTTACCGAAAATATCTCAAGAAAGTTAGTTATAACTATAAATCAAGATATGAGAAGTCTTGTGCCTTCTTTTGGATTGTAGAGTTTAGGGGTATGATACCCTACTATCATGGTTTATCTATGGTACTCAGACTCTTCGAAATTCCTACCACACACGTGTCAACA